TCCTATTCAAGTTCAATAGTAACTATGGACCTATCTCTGCCAGTTTTGAAGATAAAAGGGAAGCAAAATTTGCAAAGTTCAGTTTATTATCCATTACTAGTCAGGCGGGTAAGTCCAAATTATATCCAGAATTGTACAAAAGATGATAAATGCATGAAACTTTCCACGCTGAATGACCATTGGCTGTTTGTCAACCCCCCGATCCAAAATAGACAAACACCCAATGGTCATTCATCGTGGAAAGTTTCATGCTATTATCATCTATTGCACAATTTTTTGGCTTAGCCGCCTCACTATACCGTACTGCACATTTTGCTTTCACCACCAATATGTACTTTTTGATACAGCGTAACTCAAAAACTGTATGGAATACAAAAAAACGGAGACCACTGGCAGTGTTGGGCTTTACATGCTCTACCAAATGCAAAAAAGAATGGGTCTCTAGCATTAACGGTTCCCGAATTAGAGACAGTTTTCAGTTTCGGCATCTTATGGCCGCTACTCCCGTAAAAAAGCTCCGATTGACCCCAAATTTACGGAGATGAAAGATGACCTGAAGGGTAACACTTTCCAATAATATTATTGGTTAAGTCTGTGTGGTGTCTGAATAACAGAGCAAAAAAAAATTTTTTCGTATAAATTTTTTTTTTTTTAATTTTGGCCCGTTTGACCTTGAAGTAAAGGTCAAAGGTCAAATCCAAGGGCATATTTGAAATCTACACATATGACTTTTGGAAAGCTGTCTGTAGAAATTTTTCCCATAACCCCTTCCGTAGGGTAGATAATTAGCATTTAATTTTGCCATTTTTAGACAAGGGTGCATTGCAATGAGTGCCACACCCAGACCCCAATACCGACAAAGCCCAAATTTTACGTGGAACGAGTTGAGATTATAGGTGACCTAAATCCATGAGATGGGTACGGGGGCCCTTACCGTCTAGGAGGAGAAGCGGTAACGGTAACATGGCGGCGGAGCCGGCGGAACGGACCGGACGGGACCGAAACCATGTGTACCGCCAGCGCTAACGCTGGTGGTAAATTTTTTTGTTCAAATTTCAAAATAGTATCTCGAAATTTCGAGATAATTTTTTTTTCTACATATGGCACCAGTGGGCTTCCGTACATTTTCCTTTCACCACCAATATGTACTTTTTGATACAGCGTAACTCGAAAACCGTATGGAATACAAAAAAACCGAGACCACCTCCAGTGTTGGGCTTTACATGCTCTACAAAATGCAAAAAAGAATGGGTCTCTAGCATTAACGGTTCCCGAATTAGAGACAGTTTTCAGTTTCGGCATCTTATGGCCGCTACTCCCGTAAAAATGCACCGATTGACCCCAAATTTACGGAGATGAAAGATGACCTGAAGGGTAACACTTTCCAATAATATTATTGGTTAAGTCTGTGTGGTGTCTGAATAACAGAGCAAAAAAAAAATTTTTCGTATAAATTTTTTTTTTTTAATTTTGGCCCGTTTGACCTTGAAGTAAAGGTCAAAGGTCAAATCCAAGGGCATATTTGAAATCTACACATATGACTTTTGGAAAGCTGTCTGTAGAAATTTTTCCCATAACCCCTTCCGTAGGGTAGATAATTAGCATTTAATTTTGCCATTTTTGGACAAGGGTGCATTGCAATGAGTGCCACACCCAGACCCCAATACAGACAAAGCCCAAATTTTACGTGGAACGAGTTGAGATTATAGGTGACCTAAATCCAAGAGATGGGTACGGGGGCCGTTACCGTCTAGGAGGAGAAGCGGTAACGGTAACTTGTAGGCGGAGCCGGCTATAAATATATATTAAGAGCAATAGAGAGATTTAAAAATGTGGGTCTTTTAATAAAGAAATTACACACAGTTGATAGGCCATTATTTACATGAGGGCCCTGAGTAGCTTATACATGTAAAGATATATACATAAAGCTCAACAATACCTTTCAGCGTCTTCTCTCCCCTGTATACAGGGATTTTATCATCGAGGTCCTGGTCAAGTCGGAATACCAACAAGTAGATGATCCGCTCTGAGAGGAACGTTTGGTGTGTGGTGTAGTAGACATCCTGTCCTGCAAAATCCCAAATTGTGACCTGTTTCTCTGGCTCCACATCTTCTCCTCGGGCAATTTTCTCAATTTTTTCCAATAGCTCCTTCTCAATATCATCTAGATGGTCCCTTTCTGCCACTGCGAGGAATACAATAAGCTATGTCCGAACTAACTGATTTTAGCATAATGCATATTGTTATGTATTACAATGCATGCATATTCATCCAAATCATAGTATTAATCCCGCAGTATATTGTATAAATATTGTATAAAAATAAATAAATTAGATTGAAAATGCATGTAATAAGTATAATTGGTATCAAGCGCCCGATTGAGTTTTCAGCTTGTGTGCCTTCTTCAAGGGGGGGAGGGGGGGGGGAGAGACTAGACCTTAATCTTAATAGACATGCTTTCAATCTAATTTATTTCATTTGTCAGGGACTGTTCATACATCGACATATCGTCAACATTCTAATACTACTCATGTTTTCTTCCCTAGAGGTATGAGATCCACTTTCACCTTTGAAAGGGACTGTACAATAAACAGTGCCGTTAAAATAAAACTTTTTAGCATAAAAAAGTATCGTAATTATTGACAAAATTTGAATGTGTTTAGAGTCAATTAACTTTGTGAAACAGTTATCAAATACATTAGAAGCTTTCGTCTGTTTATCGGCAATTTGAGAAAAAAAAACTTTTCTTAAAAATGTATCCTCTCTGATGAATACAAGTGAGTAAGCTCAAAACATAACGGGGTGATAAACACTGAATGTTTTAACATTCATTAAAATCAATTAAAATTGTAAGGTATAGTCAATTTCAATGTAACATTATTCATACAGTTTGATGAAAATAAGAATGCAGGGGCTGGTTTCACAAAGCAGTAGTTAGTTAGAACAACTAACTACTGAACTACCTCCCTAACGAGCAAACTAAGTGATTTTCGAGGGGTGTTTCACGAAGCAGTCGTTAACTCATCACTAAGTTCAGTCGTAAAGTTTGGTCGTTAGTTCTCTCGTTACTCACCGTAGTCTCGAAACCGTCTGCTGGAAGTGGAACTCTTGCGTAAAAGTGTTACGAAAGCACTAACTCTCCAATTTTTGGTGGCTGAAAATGCATAAGAACGTCTGCTTTGAGGTCGTCGTAAAGGATCTCCACCACCTTTTTGCCGCTCTTTTTGTCACAGCTAGGCGCAACCTCTCGTAAATTGCATGATCGTGGTTATATTCTAATAGATTCTGCCTTTCATGAAAACGTCGTAGTCTACGTTGCCGTCTGGCGGTACGGATAGCAAGAAAGGTAGCCGCCATATTGGATACAAAGACAAACGACAGACAATGGTAACTAAGCAACCTTTTTATTTCACTCATTACGCATGCGTACGATGAAACTCTAGAGTTAGCGACTGGTCTGACCAGTCGTTAAATATCCAAGGCAACAACGAGACAATAACGAGCGAGAACTAGCGATTGCTTCGTGAAACGGCACTCTAACTAGCGATAGGCTAACTACCGATCACTAACTAACTACTGCTTTGTGAAACCGGCCCCAGGAACTCACATACTTATTCGACAAGCTAGGAACAACTCTCGAACATTCTGAGCAATAGACGAGAATCTTGTTTTACTGGTACATGTACACTACTTACCTGCTGTTTTGTCAGGAGAGGCAGGTGATTCACTGTCATCAGGGGTAGCGGCTGTAGAATAAAGAGAAGAATAATATCAAACACCATTCTAGCAGAAAATGACTCAACTTTAAAGTAAACAAATACATGGCTAAGATAAAGGAATTTCTTTCCAAAATTTTAACATATAATTTAACTTCAGGATATTGTATAAATATTGAATAAAAATAAATAAATTACATTGAAAATGCGTCTAATAGGATCAAGTATAATTGGTATCAAGCACCCAGTCTTCAAGGCACATAAGGTATAATGGCCGCCTCTGGATATTGTACCACCAGCTGGAGTAAGTGCATTCGTATGGACCCCCCCCCCAGAAAAAAAAAAAAACATTGGACACCACCACCAGTCTTGTGCTTGACAAGCTCTATAAAATGCAATAAACAAAAGCTCTCAAAATATGCAAAAAAANGGGTATGGGGGGCCTTACCGTCTAGGAGGAGAAGCGGTAACGGTAGCCGTCCGGCGGAGCCGGCGGAACGATCCGGACGAGACCGAAACCATGTGTACCGCCAGCGCTAACGCTGGTGGTACAATTATGTATCACATCTCGCTAATGGTTAAGTCTGGTTCAGAAGTAGTTCTCTCTCAGTTACAACATACATTTTTTTACAAGACGATTAAAATGCAACATTAAGCATTCATATTTTCTTATCGGTAAAATTAAACTAAATTCTTTGTCATGCACATTTTATGAGGTAGCAGGGACAAGCAGCTAAGGGGAGAGAGGTTTCAATGCAGTTCTTATCATTATTGCCCTCCATCTTACTATACTTACTGTATGAAGTGTAGAAAACCCCATCTGTTCAACACTTTTAACAAATGCTCCAATTCTGTCAAATCTGCTCACAACCTCTGCAATAAGCAGCTTGCCACTGCAACAAAATCAATCTATTACATATAAAGTGAAAGGTAAAACAAGATTGCTTTGCTTTGAAGGATTTACACGAGATTAAAAATCAAACATATTAAGTTTTTTTCCCAAACATCCTGCCATTACCTTCTGTACTGCTAAAGACTATGATCTTAGGGCAAACAATCTTAATAACAAGCCAGAAACCCTTCCACTATTCATCATTCATCCACAGAAATTGCGACACATGCATGCTGAACCCATTTGTTTGCATGCTTGTTTTCGGCAACGCACATTTGGTTATCCCATTTATTGCATTCTGGTTACCCACACATGTACATAACAGGAAATAGGCATGCAAACACGACCAGCCGAAAAAGCAGAAATGGGTTAACACGCGCACCATTATCTGTGGAAAGGTACACCACTCACCCCTTCTTTAACACCCTGTTGGCCTCCCTCAGGAAGTCCACCAGGTTAGTCCCCATCAGCGCCAGGCAGAATACCGCCACACCAACACTGCCATCTTTGAGAGGGGTCTGTAGAAAATCAATAAGTGGAATATTGGAATTCATGTTATTTATTATAAACAACAACATTTATTGTTATACCCAGTGTTTTTTTCAGATCCTCTTGAAACGGGAATGTTTTTTCATGAATGTCTGAAAACCTAAATTTTTTTGAGCTTCAGTATTCATGTTTCATAACTGGTAAAAACATATGTAACTAGGGTAAGCCCAATTTGTCCCATTAAAAAATATAAGATTACAATAACGTGATTTACAGAAAAAGAATTTTACCTTAGACATGTCACAGGCAGTGACATATTTGTTCACGGCAACCAGATCAAAGGAATGCACCTGATTGGATACAGACTGCGCTATCTTGGCATCTCCGCAGCCAAAATCTGCTATAACCTCATTGCTTGCTCTGTAGATGATGCAAAAATTAGAAATAAATTTAAGAGACCCATCTGACAAAACTGTGCTAAATATTCTATGTGAAAATTGTAAAGCTGGTGTGTAGAGCTCAAGGGCCACAGAAATAACAGAAAAGAGAGATAAGTTGTGCGCAGGCCATTTCCTTTTATTTTTGCTAAGTACATACAGATAATTGTCCTTCTATTACAGGAGCCAGAAAGTGCAAACAGTCATACAAACTTATAAACACAAAGACCCAGCAACATATTCAAAAACCTCCAAAGGGGGATTTCAAAGTAACAACAAAGAAGTTATACTATTGTGAAACAGAAATAAAGTAAAAAAAAAAAAAAAAAAAAAAAAACAGAAAGATCACTTACTTTTTCTTGATGAAGTCTATGATAGTATTAACAGGGCTCTGAGGCCATTTTGCCACTTGATTCTGGAAACCGTCATGATAGGCCTTAAAAGCTTCTGGATCAGAGCGGAACAGCTTCACTGCCTCCTCGCTAGGTAGAGTGTAAAGCTGTTCATTCAAAAAGCGGAACCTTCAGAAAATTAAAAAAAAAAGAATTATGAAGTAAGTTTTCTACCTCTGGTAGCCAGGTTAAAGTTCATTTGGCTTATGAAACATAAAAAAAACTTATTCATCACAAAATAGAAAAGTTTTCTGGAAAAATATCAAGCCAATATTGTGTTTATAAAACTGATTACTTTGCTTAATTGTACTGTTGCTCTTGTATCGTTACCTTGCTGCATGAAGACGCTCCATCATCTTTTCCCGAAGCACCTGTGACTTGTTTTGTGACTTGGACTGAGGCGAGAGAATCTCCTTGGCTGCAAATTTCTCTTCTTTCTTTGTGACCATTTTAGTCTTCTTTTCTCCTGTATTGCTTTCATCAGCCTGAAGCAGAGCCTTCACTTTATTTTTATCCAAGCCAGTCTTAGACTTTGGAGCCAACTGAAGATTATTCGAGCCATCTTTCTCAGCTAAAGGTTGGTTGATGACATCCTTTGTCACCTTTCCCTTCAAAACCTTATGTTCTTTACCAGTTTTTCTTTCCAATTTATCCACTTTAGAAGATTTTCCTTTAGTCCTTTTTGAAACACTCTTCACAGATACATTACCCAATTTTTCAATTTTTGCTGAGGAATTTCTTTCTCCAGGAGATTTCTGCTTTTTGTCCGATACTATATTGTTTGTACTTTGTGCCATTTTGGTCCCATCTGAAAAGCCATTGCCATCACCGACAGATGTGTCGAGTTTTCTCCTCTTGTGATTTGTCACACTGTCAACAGGAGTGGCATTGTCCCTTTTGGACATATTGTTGTCCTTCATTTCATCCCCAGGACATTCTCTCTTCCTCTTCAAACTACTTTTGCTCAAGTTTGTTTCAGTGCAAGCACCTTTTGGCACAGTTTCAGATTTTGTGTGTTTTTCATTAGCCTGTGAATTAATCACAAAATCTCCTTTATCTGCATTGCCTGTCGAAGCACTCTTTTCCCTCTGCTGTGCTTCCCACAAATCTTTATATTTGTTTTTCTTAGCTTTTCTTTTTCTCTTCTTCTTTTTCTTGGGAAGAGAGGGCCGAGTTGTGTTGGATGCTTCAGCTTTCTTCTGAGTTTGTGTTACTGTGGTGTCCTTTCCACCTGAACTTTCATCATTCACAGCCTCTTTCTTATTCTTGTCAAAGTCTTTGTATTTATTTCTTTTTTTCTTATTTTTATTGATATCATTTTGAGACTTTTCCAAATTTTTGTGTTTCTTATTCAATTTAAACTTTGGCACAGATTCTCCCCCATTTGTCGTCATTTTCGCAGTGGGTTTGTGAATTTTCTTCACTTTTGCTACCATAGCACTATTTTGCACGTGACTTGTACTCTTTCCCTGCAATGATCCTAGACTCCCAACTGTGTGTTTCTTCTTAGAAAGGCTGTCAACTTGCCCTAATGGTCTCTTTTTGGTTTTCTTTTGACTTGCACTAATCTCATCTGAACCTGAATGGTCTGTATTAAGATGTGGCTTCTTTTTCTTCTTTTCCTGAAAAAAAAAAGACACATTATAAAATGTGGTTTCTAAAGATATAATTTAAACAAATGTGAAATGTGACTTATATAAGACTTTCAACATTTTNAAATGATAAATATAAATTTTATCAACTATAATGACCATATAAGACATAAAAAAAGGTTGCCACAAGATAACAAGAATAGGCCAGAAAAATTTTACAGCCATAACTCTCTCTTTCCACATGGAGAAATAAGGGTGAACATTCTTATTTTACTTCGAATCATAGTTCCACATTTTTTTCAAAGACCACTTGGGTATAATTATTATATTTTCTTCACATGGCATTTTACTTCAAGGAAATGATGTCAATTACTTTCTTGTAACTGTTTTTCTTTTAAGAAATATTATAATAAGTTTTGCAATAAATGGCTTTCCTGTTATTTTGTGATCCAACTGTATACACACTTTATCTTTTGGTGCATGGTTATTTACTCACCTTCCGTTTTGTAAGCTGAGAGTTGTGTAGTAAGGCTGGTTCCAGCATTGGGTGTATTTGCACCAACACACCATTATTCCTAAATGATAATAATAATTATAATTATAATATCTAGAAAAGCACTCAGAGATTGCAGACCTCCGACAGGTGTAAGAGTATCAGTTTTCTGTCTAAGCAAGGTCATCAATCCATGCCTTACACTTTGTCCAAGAAGTGCAAATGCAAGAGGTTATATCCCAGTTCGCAAATAATGTATGTGAGGTGTACTGCCATTGAAATAGGTCACAGAAATAATTATCACTGCTTGGAAAGCTGTTTCACCCCCCCCTTCCCAAATCTAACCATTTCTTCCTTAGTCCATTTGTGACCAATTCTGAAATTTTATCAGAATCTGCCTTTGTTTTTTTTTTTAATAATGCTGTTAACAGACAAATTAAGAATCTGCAAAACATAAACTCCTTGTTGGAGGTAATAATAAATATAATTCTATTTGGTTGAGTGAAGTGAATAAAAATAAAAATTTTCTCCTAGGGTTCGACACTGTATATATTGTGTTAGTTGTGTTATTGGTAAGAATTGTGGGTAAGTTACCATAGTTGTTCATTCGACCAGTTAGCGCAGACCAGTTGACAAGTAAACTTTCGAGCGCATCTTTTTCAATGGAGTCAGAGGGCGTTTCCTTAAAACAAATACTAGATTCTGTGCAGTCGCAGGCAGAATCTATAAGACTTAAAGGTTCAAATAACTTCTGAGTTGGAAAGCTTAAAGAGTGAAGTACACCGTTCATCTGACAAAGTTAAGAAGATTAAGACTGAAATTTCTACCAAGTGGTGTCAAGAAAAGCAATTGACGCAGGTAATTTGGGCAGTAGACAATAACAAGCCTGATTACGCTAAAGAAGTTGCCTTTACTATTTCTGATAAGCTAAAGAAGAGGAATAAGCTTATTAGACTAGCTGATTCCAGTGAAGGAGGGTTGGGCACTGTCCACTTTTATGAAGCTAATCCTTAGGCCATTTGAAGATTTTCGTAGTGCTATGTTGTATTTAAAACAGGGAGATTTTTGTTTCAAATCTGATTTACATTCTGCATATCATCACATCGATATTTTCGAGTCTCACACTTGTTTTTTTCTTGGAAATTTGGAAATATCTCTGTTGTCAACAGACCAAAATGACCGTCTATTTATCAAGAGACATATCTGAGAATTTATTTTAGGGTATAATTTGAATTTAGAGAAAGGCACTACTTCTATTCCTGATTACAGACTTCTTAAAATTTTTCAGACTATAACGGATATCCATTCTTTGTTTAGAAGAAAAGGCAGTGTTCATGTGCGTTATGTTGCTAGTTTAGTAGGTCAGATCATTTCTACGTCTTTTGTTACTGGCAATATGGTTTATATATGGTTGAAAAAATGTCCGAGTTTTGATATTTTGGGACGACTTCCCTAGGTAAGGGAAAGATGAGCTTGGAAGAGCTGTTGGGATGTGATATCCCAGTGATTCCCAAGGTAAGGGAAAGATGAGCTTGGAAGAGCTGTTTGGGATGTGATATCCTGGTGATTTCCNTTACAGACTTCTTAAAATTTTTCAGACTATAACGGATATCCATTCTTTGTTTAGAAGAAAAGGCAGTGTTCATGTGCGTTATGTTGCTAGTTTAGTAGGTCAGATCATTTCTACGTCTTTTGTTACTGGCAATATGGTTTATATATGGTTGAAAAAATGTCCGAGTTTTGATATTTTGGGACGACTTCCCTAGGTAAGGGAAAGATGAGCTTGGAAGAGCTGTTGGGATGTGATATCCCAGTGATTCCCAAGGTAAGGGAAAGATGAGCTTGGAAGAGCTGTTTGGGATGTGATATCCTGGTGATTTCCTAGGTAAGGGAAAGATGGGCTCTGAAGAGCTGTTTGGGATGTGATATCCTGGTGATTCCCTAGGTAAGGGAAAGATGGGCTCTGAAGAGCTGTTTGGGATGTGATATCCTGGTGATTCCCTAGGTAAGGGAAAGATGAGCTCAGAATAGCTGTTGGGATGTGATATCCCGGTGATTCCCAAGGTAAGGGAAATAATGAGCTCAGAAGAGCTGTTGGGATGTGATATCCCAGTGATTCCTTTTTATATATAAAAGGAAGAGATGATACAGAGGTTTGGTGAGGAGAGGGTCTCCTCGTGTTAATAATTTATTTATCTAATTATTGAAGATGTTTGAAAACTTGTGCACTAACTGCATCCATATGCACTTTATATGTTGTTTGTGTTGTTTTATTCTTAATGTAATATGAAGTGTCGGTTTTTGTGTAGGAGAATGGTACCAACAGACAAAACCTATTCACAAACAGTAATGAAAACCATGGCTTAACTTTAAAAGAGAGAGGGGGGGGGGAAATCAATTAACCAGTCTTATAAAAAAGTCACTTGCTCCCAATTTTTTTAAGACTGACCTCAAAGTGCTCATAAACATGCAATTTTACAAGGTGTTTAGTACTATTTAGTCTTACCTTACTTCCACGATTTTGGCAGTATAAACAGCAGAAAACTCTAGATCTGGTTCTTTCTAGAAAAAATAAATAAGTATTTCAGAAATTTTCCTAAATCAATGGTATTTCTTTCCTCAAACCTTTCAGAAAAGGTATCGACTGTAACAATTACTTTCTATCCAGCAAAAACTACCCGAACATATCATTTGCTTTATTTTCTGTGCCTTTCATTTCAGTTAATTGCAGGGCATTTGCTTTCAAATCACAAGTCAACGATTTAGATCTCAACTTGATTAATTTAAAATAAGCACAGTTACTAATATTGTAGTACAGTATTTTCACTCAAAGAAAACCAATCTTTCCCTTTCCTACCTTTTTTCTGCATTTTAAAATCACTTTTTAACCCTTGCAAAAGGCTCTACAGAATGAAAGTGAGATTATAGATTTTCATTTATCATGACTATCAGAGCAAAACTTACAGAACTTTTCAGCTGTTTGTCTATCATTTCTTTGGCCTCTTCCATGGCATCTTTATTAGGGGCAAATAATTGAAAAGTTGTCTCATCAACACTTGAAACTGTTATACCTGGAAAAAATATGTATACCTACACTACCAAAAACACTGCTTGTACTGAGGTCAGCATATAAGTAAAATGTTTCAATTTCAAATCAAACTATCATGAGAATCAGTAAAAAAGAAATTATGCAATAATCATAACCCCATAGAGCCTGACAGCATCTGACCTACAAAGTGCCCATGGTTTAATCAATGAGAATATATTCATTTGTCTGGAAAACACCTAAGAACTGTACATTTTAAGAAAGCCAAGTATGTCAGCCACCTTTGCCATTGTCAGAGTATCATAATCTATCACGGATTCTTCCCCGAAGTCTGAATTTTCTAACAATTCTAGAGCTATTTTCTCATCCCATAACTTCTGTTGACCTCTCATCACCATTTTGACTTCTTAGCGCCTCGACAAGGGTTGAAGTAAATTGCTTTTCCGTTATCTAAAACTCGTCAAATGCCTTTCAAAAGCCGGTAGTAAACAAAGAACATCAGGTTACTCTTGTGATGGAAGCATGAATTGTTACAAACGACAGGGGAAAGTAAGAGCATATAAACACAGAAACTACGTTTTGGTGGTTGCCAGCACTGGGGATTTTTTTAAATGAACCACATATGTGTGGTTTTATGGCGCTATGGGGTTAAATAATTCTTAAAAACAATGACATTTCCATTGCTCAATTTAGAATAATCTATCTGAAAACTAGAGGATCAGAGAGGCGATACCGCCTCCGAATATTGTACCACCAGCTGGAGCAAGCGCATTCGTATAGACCCCCACATACACAAAATAAGGGACACAGCCACCAGTCTTATGCTTGACAAGCTATAAAAATGCAATCAACAAGAATTTTCAAAATACGCAAAAAATATATATAACTTAAAATGGTACAATCAAAGTTAAGTTCATCGTAAGGTAGGTCAAAGGTCAATTTCAAGGTCACAGTAAATTGCCAGTATATGACTTCCTATTCAACTTCAATAGTAACTATGGACCTATCTCTGCCAGGTTTGGAGTTAAAAGAGAAAGAAATTAGCAGAGTTCAGTTCATGATTATAAGTAGGTCAAAGGTCAATTTGAAGGTCACATATAGATTGCCAGTATATGACTTCCTATTCAA